GTCAAATCTCATCAGATTTTCACCAGGTTTAGCTTTTTGTACATGGTTTGGCCTCTAGATCAATTTGGCATCTAAATCTGGCAACATTATTTTTGGTCGAAATTCATGTGAAAATGGTATCCTAAAATATCCTATATAGACTTAGGTCAACATTTCCCACCCCCATAACTTGGTCAAATCTCATCAGATTTTCACCAGGTTTAGCTTTTTGTACATGGTTTGGCCTCTAGATCAATTTGGCATCTAAATCTGGCAACATTATTTTTGGTCGAAATTCATGTGAAAATGGTATCCTAACATATCCTATATAGAAATGGGTCAACATTTCCCACCCCCATAACTTGGTCAAATCTCATCAGATTTTCACCAGGTTTAGCTTTTTGTACATGGTTTGGCCTCTAGATCAATTTGGCATCTAAATCTGGCAACATTATTTTTGGTCGAAATTCATGTGAAAATGGTATCCTAACATATCCTATATAGACATGGGTCAACATTTCCCACCCCCATAACTTGGTCAAATCTCATCAGATTTTCACCAGGTTTAGCTTTTTGTACATGGTTTGGCCTCTAGATCGATTTGGCATCTAAATCTGGCAACATTATTTTTGGTCGAAATTCATGTGAAAATGGTATCCTAACATATCCTATATAGACATGGGTAAACATTTCCCACCCCCATAACTTGGTCAAATCTCATCAGATTTTCACCAGGTTTAGCTTTTTGTACATGGTTTGGCCTCTAGATCAATTTGGCATCTAAATCTGGCAACATTATTTTTGGTCGAAATTCATGTGAAAATGGTATCCTAACATATCCTATATAGACATGGGTCAACATTTCCCACCCCCATAACTTGGTCAAATCTCATCAGATTTTCACCAGGTTTAGCTTTTTGTACATGGTTTGGCCTCTAGATCAATTTGGCATCTAAATCTGGCAACATTATTTTTGGTCGAAATTCATGTGAAAATGGTATCCTAACATATCCTATATAGACATGGGTCAACATTTCCCACCCCCATAACTTGGTCAAATCTCATCAGATTTTCACCAGGTTTAGCTTTTTGTACATGGTTTGGCCTCTAGATCAATTTGGCATCTAAATCTGGCAACATTATTTTTGGTCGAAATTTATGTGAAAATGGTATCCTAAAATATCCTATATAGACATGGGTCAACATTTCCCACCCCCATAACTTGGTCAAATCTCATCAGATTTTCACCAGGTTTAGCTTTTTGTACATGGTTTGGCCTCTAGATCAATTTGGCATCTAAATCTGGCAACATTATTTTTGGTCGAAATTTATGTGAAAATGGTATCCTAAAATATCCTATATAGACTTAGGTCAACATTTCCCACCCCCATAACTTGGTCAAATCTCATCAGATTTTCACCAGGTTTAGCTTTTTGTACATGGTTTGGCCTCTAGATCAATTTGGCATCTAAATCTGGCAACGTTATTTTTGTCCGAAATTCATGTGAAAATGGTATCCTAACATATCCTATATAGTCATAGGTCAACATTTCCCACCCCCATAACTTGGTCAAATCTCATCAGATTTTCACCAGGTTTAGCTTTTTGTACATGGTTTGGCCTCTAGATCAATTTGGCATCTAAATCTGGCAACATTATTTTTGGTCGAAATTCATGTGAAAATGGTATCCTAACATATCCTATGTAGACATGGGTCAACATTTCCCACCCCCATAACTTGGTCAAATCTCATCAGATTTTCACCAGGTTTAGCTTTTTGTACATGGTTTGGCCTCTAGATCAATTTGGCATCTAAATCTGGCAACATTATTTTTGGTCGAAATTCATGTGAAAATGGTATCCTAACATATCCTATATAGACATGGGTCAACATTTCCCACCCCCATAACTTGGTCAAATCTCATCAGATTTTCACCAGGTTTAGCTTTTTGTACATGGTTTGGCCTCTAGATCGATTTGGCATCTAAATCTGGCAACATTATTTTTGGTCGAAATTCATGTGAAAATGGTATCCTAACATATCCTATATAGACATGGGTAAACATTTCCCACCCCCATAACTTGGTCAAATCTCATCAGATTTTCACCAGGTTTAGCTTTTTGTACATGGTTTGGCCTCTAGATCAATTTGGCATCTAAATCTGGCAACATTATTTTTGGTCGAAATTCATGTGAAAATGGTATCCTAACATATCCTATATAGACATGGGTCAACATTTCCCACCCCCATAACTTGGTCAAATCTCATCAGATTTTCACCAGGTTTAGCTTTTTGTACATGGTTTGGCCTCTAGATCAATTTGGCATCTAAATCTGGCAACATTATTTTTGGTCGAAATTCATGTGAAAATGGTATCCTAACATATCCTATATAGACATGGGTCAACATTTCCCACCCCCATAACTTGGTCAAATCTCATCAGATTTTCACCAGGTTTAGCTTTTTGTACATGGTTTGGCCTCTAGATCAATTTGGCATCTAAATCTGGCAACATTATTTTTGGTCGAAATTTATGTGAAAATGGTATCCTAAAATATCCTATATAGACATGGGTCAACATTTCCCACCCCCATAACTTGGTCAAATCTCATCAGATTTTCACCAGGTTTAGCTTTTTGTACATGGTTTGGCCTCTAGATCAATTTGGCATCTAAATCTGGCAACATTATTTTTGGTCGAAATTTATGTGAAAATGGTATCCTAAAATATCCTATATAGACTTAGGTCAACATTTCCCACCCCCATAACTTGGTCAAATCTCATCAGATTTTCACCAGGTTTAGCTTTTTGTACATGGTTTGGCCTCTAGATCAATTTGGCATCTAAATCTGGCAACGTTATTTTTGTCCGAAATTCATGTGAAAATGGTATCCTAACATATCCTATATAGTCATAGGTCAACATTTCCCACCCCCATAACTTGGTCAAATCTCATCAGATTTTCACCAGGTTTAGCTTTTTGTACATGGTTTGGCCTCTAGATCAATTTGGCATCTAAATCTGGCAACATTATTTGTGGTCGAAATTCATGTGAAAATGGTATCCTAAAATACCCTATATAGACATTGGTCAAAATTTCCCACCCCCATAACTTGGTCAAATCTCATCAGATTTTCACCAGGATTAGCTTTTTGTACATGGTTTGGCCTCTAGATCAATTTGGCATCTAAATCTGGCAACATTATTTTTGGTCGAAATTTATGTGAAAATGGTATCCTAACATATCCTATGTAGACATGGGTCAACATTTCCCACCCCCATAACTTGGTCAAATCTCATCAGATTTTCACCAGGTTTAGCTTTTTGTACATGGTTTGGCCTCTAGATCAATTTGGCATCTAAATCTGGCAACATTATTTTTGGTCGAAATTCATGTGAAAATGGTATCCTAACATATCCTATATAGACATGGGTCAACATTTCCCACCCCCATAACTTGGTCAAATCTCATCAGATTTTCACCAGGTTTAGCTTTTTGTACATGGTTTGGCCTCTAGATCAATTTGGCATCTAAATCTGGCAACATTATTTTTGGTCGAAATTCATGTGAAAATGGTATCCTAAAATACCCTATATAGACATTGGTCAAAATTTCCCACCCCCATAACTTGGTCAAATCTCATCAGATTTGCACCAGGTTTAGCTTTTTGTACATGGTTTGGCCTCTAGATCAATTTGGCATCTAAATCTGGCAACATTATTTTTGGTCGAAATTTATGTGAAAATGGTATCCTAAAATATCCTATATAGTCATAGGTCAACATTTCCCACCCCCATAACTTGGTCAAATCTCATCAGATTTTCACCAGGTTTAGCTTTTTGTACATGGTTTGGCGTCTAGATCAATTTAGCATCTAAATCTGGCAACATTATTTTTGGTCGAAATTCATGTGAAAGTGGTACCCTGAAATTTCCTATACAGACATAGGTCGAAATTTCCCACCTCCTAGCTCGGTCAAATCTCATCAGATTTGCCCGAGGTTTGGCTCTTTGTTCATGGCTTGATACCAGAAAAATCCTATAAGTCGAAATTTCCCACCCCCATTACTCGGTCAAATCTCATAAGATTCGATCTTTCTTTATGGCGTAACCTGTAGATCAATTTGGCATCCAAATCTGGCAACATTAATTCTGGTCAAAATTCATGTGAAAATAGTACCTTAAAATATTCTATATACACATAGGTCGAAATTTGTCACCCCAATAACTGGGTCAAATCTCAGCAGATTGCCCGAGGTTTGGGTTTGGCCTCTTGATCAATTTAGCCTCTTAAACTGGAATCATTATTGTTGTTCAAAATTCATGTGAAAATGGTAGCCTCCGATTTGCTTCAAACTTAAATAAGAACTTAATGAATACGTGTTTCAGCGATTTGGAAAATTTCGCCCGCAACAGTGGTTAAAAAGGTTGTATGAAAATTTTTTGTTTAGAGTCCGATCGGTTACAAACTCATTTTCAAATTTATTTTATACGTAAAAAGCTACGCATCAAATTTGGTGATTATAGAGCTCTTATAACTTACGAGATTTACTTAAAGAAACTGTTTTTCAAAATCAATTCTTATCGATAGCTTGGAAACGGGGCAAGTTAACGATTATCGGATAAGACAGACATAAGTTTTTGAAAGACGTAAAGAAATTTGTAAAAGTAAACAGAATATTAAGTAAATAGTGTTAAGACATAGTGATAGGAAATGGACCAACCCGGTGGAGGAAATTAGAAGCCTGTCCAGCCAGCTATGTCCCTAGTCATAGATTGGGCGAATGCATTAGTGGAAATTACACAAGCATTTCATTTTCCAAATTATTTATTTGTCCCTGTAGTCGTGGGTAGTTTGTTAAGTATTGAAAATGTTAAAATTCTTGCCATTTTGGTAAATATATATAAGCCACGTTTTTCGAAATTTTCAAATTTTTAAGAGTTTTGAAAACGTTTTCATAGCGGATAAATGCACTTTCTGCTTATTATGTTACGCTCTAGGAGATTACAATCATTTCATTTTGAAATAAAAATTGAAAAAAAATGGAAGTTTCAAAATTTGTTGTGTATAAGCTGTTAGTCTTACTATTATTATTCGTCGATCAGTCAGTGTCAGATTATGACCAGTTGTGGAACTGCAGCACAGACATTGAATTTGCTTCGAATGAAAGCAACTGCCATACTCTGCACCAGCGGCTTCTCTCACCTGCAAGCGTGGACAGCTTTTCTAATGAGATGAGAACCATGGCACCTTCGGACATGTCGCAAGTCCATCTTCAAGGTGATGAGACTGCGCCCAACTCCAGCAAAAATTCAAGCACCAATGATGAGGACAATGGTGAATTCCATTTTCTAGTTACCGGCGGCTACCGTCCCGAAAAGAATGATCTGATTAAATTTGCAGTCTCGCTACGTCATACGCCAAGTCATAAATTCTTTGGCGACACTCATTTTTGTGGCGGCAGTCTAATATCGAAGACAGCCGTTCTAACAGCAGCCCATTGTCTGTTTTCAGGGTATGTCAGTTGTCAGGGTACCTAAAAAAGCATTTCACAAAATCAATTCTGATATTTGCAGGCGCAGCAAGCTTCGACCTGGTAAGGTAAAGGTAATTGCCGGTACACCGCGTCGCCTAATTAAGACATCTAGCACCCAAGAATTTAGCGTGGAAAAAGTGAAGCCGCATCCGCAGTACTCCTCGACTCGCCTAACCAATGATGTTGGGGTTTTGCGACTCAAAAGCGAGGTGAGACAAGATGGAAGTTTTGTCGCTATTATACCCTTAGCTGACCAGGTTCCCCTGGCTGGATTGGAGTGCACAGTCGTTGGATGGGGTACTGTAATTCAGGTGAGCCTCTAACTGGAAAATATGAAAATTCTGAGCACTCCTTGGGGGGGAAAATTAAACAAGGAATCAGTTTTCAGATAAAACTTTACATAGATATTACAATCAGAATCAATTTGAGAGAATTGAGAGATGTATTTAGAATTGACAGAATAATATCTTTTTTTTTTTTTTTGTTTGTTTGCTTATTGTATCGAATCAAAAATAGCATACATTTTTATTACAACACAGTTGACTTAGGTGATATTACGCCAAGCCTGGTTGGGTCCTCAGGCTATATCGTGGACAACGTCAAAGGCGGCTTTTTGAGTAAGGCTGCATCGTCACGTACGTAGTCGGGGGACTCTGGGGCGTCTCCTATGTCGTGGTTGGAGGAGGTCCTTGAACGATCTTCTCTTGAGCCTCCTGACTACACACCTCCCAGCGAGGTCTCTTGCTACCCGAATAATATCTGATTCGCATTTAAATCTGCCTGCATCCCCAGTACGGCCCAATACCCGACGAGGCGGTCAACGGCGATTTGACAATCAAATCGAAAGACTATTGCTCTAAGCTGCAGCATTTTGGCAAAGGCATGATATGCGCCTCGAACCCAAAGGATTTCGAAGTGGACGCCTGCCAGGGCGATTCGGGTGGACCGCTAATTTGCGCCGGAAAAGTGGTGGGAATCGTTTCCTTTGGCTACGGCTGCGCGATGCCAAATTCCGCCGGAGTTTACACCGATGTGCATCACTTTCGCAGTTGGATAGAGCTTAACGTGGCAACGTGCTCATTCTGCCCGTCCTGGTTTTGGCTTCTACTGATCACGCTGGCAATGCAAGCTCTGTGAGAATCTCCTTAGATGCGATTTTCAGTTGTACTATCTATGCACACTCAACAGGTGGGTTGGCCTGCGGCTTTTCGGCAGGCATATCCTGCATATGACAAGCCAAAATTGAGTGAAACCATGGCGCTGAAGTCTTCTCTAAATCCAAAACCAGCGACAAAATGCGGTGACCGCCATAATCACTCGCACGAAGTTGCATAAACACACCCACAAATCCACACACACACACACACGCACACATTCGCATTTTAACACACACACACACGCTCTCATTTTAGACAACAGTTTATGGTTTATTGGATTGCTGGAATTACTGTGTCTGACAGCAATTATCACATCACGAACGCAGCGAATGTCAGATTGCCGCCGCAGCCATACTACAAAATTGAATATAACTAATATATTTGCTGAGGATCTGGGGGAAAAAACCGACTCTACAGCAAATTTTCAGCAGTTACTTAAATCCACAATATTTATCTTAGATTCAACTTTCGTTTGTATCTAATACATTTACATAAATATACTTAAATTCAATATTACATAAATTCAATATTTTTCTTAGATTCAACTTTCGTTTGTATCTAATACATTTACATAAATACCCTCCATATTTAGAAAAACAATAATAATAGAAATAATAATATTGTCAATATTAATAATAACAAATCTATATATATATATATATATATATATATATATATGACTTTGTGCTGACAAATCGAGAGATTGTCGGTCTAAACTTAAGACCTTGGACCAATTACCTTCCAATACCAATTACAAAGCAGCCATATCAGCGTGTGTGGTTTAAGTATCTGTGTATCTGAGGACTAACAAAGCGCGCGAGATGTCCAGTTCCAATTGAGTATAGAGAACGATACAAATACAAAATATCTTTTCATACCCTGAACCCATTAACAAGAGCCCCTAGTCGGGAGCTCCGGACTAGGGGATACCTTGAACTCTCTCCTACCAACACCAAATGCAGATCGCGCTACGCTTTTATCTGTGCTGGGTATGTGTTGCTATTTTAATTCCCTTTTTTTCTCACTAAGAGTCAATTGCTGGTATGGCGGTTGAGTAGAGGCGTTTGCAAGTAGTTCGGTCTGTTACGAGTTCGAGTCCTTTTAAGGAAACTGTTTTTTTTTTGTTAATATTTTTTTTATTTCTGCTGAAGCAAACAAGCTTGTAGCGCGAGCTACTTGTTATAAATTAAAAGAAAAGTTTTCTCATTATTCCAATTGAGGCGACAAAATATATATGCAGCAAAATTGATGAGGAGTTACGTGGCACTTTGAGTGGCTTTGTGTCTGGCTGACGTGCGATTCGAAAATTAATAATTTGACCCATCTCAATTGGCTAACTAAAACGTATATAGTACTATGTTAAGTAGTTTATACTGGTCCTACTTGAAAGTCAATTCGCGTTCGAATTCAGCTCAAGGCGTATAAGCAATAGTGCGTTAAATGAAACATTCATGACAATTCAATTGATGTGGATGACACGAGGCCTTTACTCAAGTATGGATCGACTGCTTTATTGTTGCAGATCTACGAAAGTAGATTGAAGCTGTGTACTCGTCCACACAAAATCTGTGAAAATCAGTGCAGGAACATGTTGATTGAATATCTGAAATCCAATTAGTAACCACATACGCAGACACACACACACACACACGAGCAATTGCAAATACAATTAGAAAAGGCAACAACAATAACAAGAGCTGAAACCTTTTGCTTTGCTTCATTTTGTCGTCATACAAGTCACGCACACACACACACACACACACACACACACACACACATACACAGGGGAGGAGCAGCATGTTATTTTCACGTAGGACTCGAGAGGGACATTCACACAACCAATCACACACACACACACACACACATACAATCAGTTTGTCATTTCATATGCGCATTGTCTGCTGTTCAAGAGTTCATAATGAATTTAATCGCGTATGTTTATTGCTCACTTTTATGTGGGATTGTGGGGCACACAAGGACATACATCAAATTCACACGCGGACACATCACATACTCTTCAATGCAAATACATATACACATATACACAGTAGAGATGGGCGCGTGCCTTATTTTCGAGGCACTTCCCGGCTCGAGCACGAAATTGCTTGAAAGACTTATCCTGATCCGGCAGAAAGCCCAAACAAATATTCTGCAATTTTTAATATAACATTTTTTCTGAATTTTTGCATCGAAAAGATGGTTGAATTTTTTGTTTCTACAGTTTTATATAAGTTGTAACCCTTTTATAAGGGTTTGCTTATTTTGTTTGTATTTGTTTCGATAGTTCGAGATAGCTAGGATAGGATCTGCTGCTATATTCAGTTATCAACAATATTTGACGAAGCTTCAGGCTGTATCGTGACTTTCGGTTTGCTTTTCGGTATAAACAATTTTGCTGAATTTTTGCATCGAAAAGATGGTTGCATTTTTAAGAGTTTGCTTATTTTGTTTATTTGTTTCGATAGTTCAAGATAGATAAGATTAGCTGCTATATTCAGGTATCAACAATATTTGACGAAGCTATTTCTCGGTCTTAATCGTGCTTTCTTCAGGATTTATCGTGACTTCATTTTCCGTGCTTTTCGGGATTTATGCCCGGGCTAAACCTGTTATAGCGTGCTTCGTGAGACAAAAATCACGACCCGCGTTCAGCTCAAGCACACAAGCATATGTATGCATGTGTGTGTGCGCCTGTGTATGTGTGTGTGTGCGCCTGTGTGTTTGTGTGTGTGTTGTGCTGAGAAAACATTCCCACAAGTTGTTTTGTAGCAAGCGTCATCGGCACAATACAGTCGAAGACAGTTTATCATTTTGCCACGCTTCTTGTTTGCCAAGTTGGGTCGTCACAGTGTTCCTTTTGCATATTGATTTATCGTTGCTGCCGCTGTTGTTGTCACTGTCTCTGTCTCTGTCTCTGTCTCTGCGTTGGTGCTCTAAGCCAACAAGGATGTTGTTTTTGCTTGGCTTGGCTGGGCTTGGTTCCGTTCCGTTTCGCTTCGTGCCGTGCCCCGTTTTTGCGCCCGGAGCACAGTAAATTGTTTGCATATATTAGACACATGGCTCAAATTGCATTTCAAATGAAGTTCATTTGAAAATAATTGCAGTTTAACTTTATTGTCGTTGATGTTTGCCCAAATTGCTGCCAGGCTCCCAATAAAAATGAGTTGGGCAAAAACGACTCCGATGTGTGTTGGCAAATGTATTTGGCTATGATGGCATTTGGCCAATTGAATTAAGTGGCCAATTACGAAATAATGAATATTAATTAATTACGTTAGTGAATGCATTTCCATAAACCATAAAGTTGCCAAGCTCCATTTCTTGGTCTAAATAACGACAACTTGAGCTTTTCGAGACATCGGGGAATTAATTCTCCACAGTAAGAGTCCTCTCGGACAATCAGACATTTTGGCGTAGTAGTTTAGCTTTTTCTTCCCTGTTTTCTTCAATAGCTTCGGTATCTATCGTCCTGTATTATTATTTTTTTTTTTTTTTAACTCGTATTTTATTTGTAATCTGTCTAAGGACAATCAACAAATTGCTTAGCAAGTAAAGATATAATAAAACTTACAAGGATTGCTTGAGCTCCATTGAGTTCAAACAATGTATATTACAATAGCCGGTTTTGCCCGTGGCACGTATAAAATAAATGTTCTCAAAAAGCTTTAAAAATTAACAAACAACTTTTCCGCCAATTTACCACTGTTGCGGGTGGAATTGCCCAAATTACTGAAACGCGTATTCATTAAGTTCTTATGTAGAACTTTGAACTTAAAACCTCACAAAAAATCATTGATTTGCACTTTCCACCGAGAAAGCGTCGATTTAGCCAAAAATGTGAAACACTTATGAAATGATTTTTCATATACATAGATCGATGGAAATAAATTTGAGAGCGAAACGTCACCCACCAAATCTTTGACCCCCATTTCTACCATGGAGGAATACATTTTTGGAAAATTGTGAAACACACCTCAAATGAATTTAAACAAAGATCTTTGAAATTGAGTTTGAGGCCGATCTGATGGTAATTAAAAAAGTTTCATACAAACGTTTTTCGCGATTTTTCCACACTTGCGGGTGGAATTTCCCGAAACCCCGTCTTAACGTGCACCTACATCACATAAGGTAACTACAGTGAACGTTTCAGCTTCCTAGCTCTTACGGTTTGGGCAGTGCGTTGATCACCAATCAGACAGTTTTATGTACATATAGAGATTTTAGATTGTTAACCTAATTTATGTTTAACCTAATTTACGACGATATGTGAAAGATCCAGCACGTGTACTCTTTTTAAGCGTCGTGTGTCCATACTATTGTCTAAGAGATCTAGAGCCAAGTTATTTTTGTGATTGTGTAACCTATTTATATAGCATACAGCACATCTACTTACTTCAAGTCTTTATGTACTTAGAGTCATAGACTGGTACCTTTGCAGGATGATTTCTATGTTGGAGTTGTTTGCTGTTCTCCATAGTGTATATCGGCACTAGGTTTAAGACCAACTTTGTTCTCAAGACTTAGCTGCTAGCGCGGTCCAGTACATTTTTATATTTTCCGCCTTGAGCTGCGTTTGTTTCGATTTTACATGGAGCTGCCAAGTGAGTGTCCGGTATCAGGCCATAAATATGGCAATCAAATCTCAACACTATGCCTCAAAAAATCAGTTCTTACAATTTTCAGGGAAGATATCAAAATGTGTTCGAGCTGTCTATGTTAAATAAGAGTCTACATACATATATACTCAATATGGTCAACAGACATGACTTCGATATTTTGTCGATTTTTAATTGATCTCATGGAAAAGAGGCAAATTGATGATGCAATATGAGAAGCTGCAAGCTTCAAGCTTCTATCTATTATAATCTCTGAGATCCACGGGTTCATAGATACGAATGGACATACAGACGGACGCTTTCTTCTGCCTGTTACGTTCATTGGCACAAAAAAGCATTATGTCCGCTAAACCCATTTTCGATGTGTGCAGGATATAAATACCAGTGTGACATGTTTATAATAGGACAATTTACCAACGAAATGCCAAGTCATCCAGCCTTGGAACGACCACTAACCGCTAACCAATCTCAAGCGAAACGATGACAGCAACCAGACGACGACTTGCCACGTCGTGGTGCCAACTCTGAGGGACTAATCACCAACTAAAAAGCGTGTTAAGCGCAGGAATAACATTACATATACCACAGGAGGCATGTTCCTATATGGAGGGGCGGCTCAAGCGACCAAAACTGTCGCAACATCAAGAAGGGACAGGGTCGCACCAAGGTTTCAACGGTAAAAACGCATTTCCGATATGGAAATTGCATTTATCACTCAAACAGACACACACGCACACACACACAGATGCGCCCCGTGTAAAGGACTTTCTGTTTTGGGTATATTCGAATAAGTAAGAGGGGCAGACATTCAATAGGATGGCAGACTCTCGTCCCCCCTCGCTGCCGCACCAGACAAACACATACTCACACACACACACACACACACACAACACATGCAGAAAGCAC